TCATGCACTGGGGTCCCTGGTGGACACCTCCAGCCCCTGCCCAGGCTCTACTTGGGAGGCAGCAGGTGCTGAGTCCTCTTGTGACCTTCTTAACAAAGTCCCTCCTGGCCGGGCACAGTGGGTCATGCCAGTAATCCCAGCACTTAGGGAGGCCAAGTCAGGTGGATCACTTGAGGCCAGGAGTTTGAGACCAGTCTGACCAACATGGTGAAATCCTATCTCCACTAAAAATACAAAAATTAGCAGGTGTGGTGGCAGGCACCTGTAATCCCAGCTACTTGGGAAGCTGAGGCAGGAGAATCACTTGAACCCAGAAGGCAGAGGTTGCAGTGAGCAGAGATTGTGCCACTGCACTCCAGCATGGGCAACAGAGTGAGACTCTGTCTCAAAAACAGAAACAACAACAACAAAAAAAGAAATTTCCTTCTCTCAGAGCCCAGTGTGGGTAACCCCCCATACAGACACCGAGGAAGGAGAGGTAAGCAGAATCCTGGCACAATTAAGATCTCAAGAATATCTCAGTTTATAGTATTACTACTCAGTTATTTCCTTTTATATAATCCTTTATATAATCATATATTAGTTTATAGAATTAAGGCCTGAATAATATCTCAGTTTATAGTGTTACTACTCAGTTATTTCCCTTTATATAATCCTCTATTATAATCATATATTTGTTCATAGAATGAATGCCTAAAGAATATCTTACCACTCAGTTATTTCTACATGTACATATATATAACTATATCTTAGTTCATAATCGGAGGAATGCCTAGAGTAGACACACTACAGAACATGAATTAAGGAATAAGCAGCTTATAATCGGAGGAATGCCTAGAACAGACACAGTGCAGACCATGATTTAAGGGAAAACAGTTATACCAGGACAAGAATCCATGGCCCAGGCGGCAGCGTTCAGTATAGTAAAGATGCCCTCTGTATGGCAGTCTTGGGGCAAGAGCCACTCCTCCTGATAAAGGAGTTGTAGGACCTTGTTCCTGCCCTCAGACCAGCAATCCCTCAAGCATCCGAGGGCTCAAAACCCCTCCAGATAATCACACCTTGGTGACTGTGAACTTTATCAGCTCTTGTTACTGTGCTGGTCGAAAAGCATCTTCCTATAGAACTCATTGGAAGCTGCCAGAAGGTGGTGGTAACCCTGACAGCTCTGTCACTACTGTGTGACTTAAAGCATCCTCCTATAAATCTTAGAAGTAGCATGCCCCTAGATAGAGGTATTGCACACTGCACCCTCTTCACTGCACACGGCCCATCTCCAGGCCTCGGTGACCTAATGAGGGTGGACCCCTTACTGCACACGGCCCACTTCCTTGCCTCGATAACGTAATGGAAATGGACCCCTTGCTGCACACTATCTCCTAGCCTCGGTGACCTAATGAGGATGGACCCCTTGTTTTATTGCTCATGGCCCTATCACTATCCTTAAAGATGACTTCAGTCACTGCCCTGCCCCTTAACCTACACACAATAAATACTAACGCTTCTGGACATTCAGGGCCTCGCCTGACTCCACTTACAGGTGGCGTGGCCCCCCAAGCCCAGCTGCGTTTTTCTTATACTTCTGTGTCCTGCCTCTTTATTTCTTAGATCCTGTGCCTCACACAGCATAAGGGACACCCCACGACCCTGTGGGGCCCCTAACCCTACACTCAGGACTGATAACAGATCAAGAAATGTATCCTGGGAGGAGAGAAATCAGCCTGGCCTGGCCTGGGAAGCCTGGCATCCACCATCTAAGGTGACTCCCACCCTCAGGCCCTGGGGCCTGGGGCTTGATCCTTGGGTCCCCTCTCCAGCTGGCTGAGCTCTGTGCAGCAGGAGTGAGACTTCATCCTCCCAGCACTCCCCACAAGCAGACCAGGTCTTGTCCCCACTTGGCAGAGCCCTGCTCCCCTGGAGCCGGCTCTCTCTGGGTCAGGGCCAGCATCAGAAGCAGGGGCAGCCCATCCCAACACCTCCCGGAGGCTGCAGGCAGCTCAGGCTGGTTTTCCTGTGATCACTGCAAGTGTTCCTTCCAGTTATCTGACTTCCTTCCTGGGGCCTCTGAACCCACCGTAGCTTTTGGCATGCCTTTAAGGGACACAAAAGAACCACAACAGCCACCAATTCCGGGTCCTCATCAGTAAGGCAGGGCCCCCACCCATCCTGCCTGCCTCACAGGGTGTGTAATGCTAGATGAAAAAGCCTGTTACAAAGTGTCTAACAAAGGCTGGGGGCAGTGGCTCATGCCAGTAATCCCAACACTTTGGGTGGCCAAGGCAGGTAGATCAACTGAGGTCGGGAGTTCGTGACCACCCTGGTCAACATGGTGAAACCCCGTCTCTACTAAAAATACAAAAAAATTAGGCGGGTATGATGGCGCATGCCTGTAGTCTCACCTACTTGGGAGACTGAGGCAGGAAAATCACTTGAGCCCAGGAGGCAGAGCAGTGAGGTGAGATTGTGCCACTGCACTCCAGCCTGGGTGACAGAGTGAGACTCTGTCTCAAAAGAAAAAAAAAAAAAAGAAGAAAAAGAAAGTGTCAAGTCCACTTGCAGTGGCTCATGTCTGTAATCCCAGCACTCTGGGAGGCCAAGGTAGGTGGGAGAATCCCTGAAGCCCAGGAGTTTTATTTTCTTCAAGTATTATTTTTTCATTTTTATTTTCTTGAGCCCAGGAGTTTGAGACCAGCCTGGGCAACATCATAAGACCCCGTATCTTAAAAAAATAATAATAATAATTAATTAGCCAGGTGTGGTGGTGCACACCTGTAGTCCCAGCTTCTCAGGAGACTGAAGTGGGAGGATTGCTTGAGCCTGGGAGGTTGAGGCGGCAGTCAACCATGATCGTGCCACTGTACTCCAGCCTGGATGACAGAGCAAGCAACAAAGCACATTAGGAAAAGGTTCACACCAAACTCAAAGTGGAGACAGGGGTGAGAGTGAAAACTGGAAGCAGGCATTAAAGGGGAATTTACTTTTATCTCATTTCTTAAGCAAGAAAAACAGTCAGGAAACCTATACATATATATTGTTACACAATGACTAATTCTGATGGTAGGAATGTGGGCAGTCATTATATTATTCTTGTTTGTTTTTTTCTGTGTTCTTCTACCTTCTAAATAAAAATACCTTCCCTTTAATGTTAGTTGTAAGTTAGACAACTATTGTTATGCCCTCATCTTACAGATCGGTAAACTGAGGCTTAGGAAAAGGACACCGGTTTAAGGCTTGGAGGCCAGGCGAGGACACAGGAGTTCCAAGTTCAAAAGCAGGAAGCTTTCTGCTATCTTGGCCATGCAGAAGCACCCTCCCTCCTAAGGGCTGTCACTACACCTCACAGCTTTCCAGGATGGGCCTTAGAAAAACCCTGTAGGTGTCCCTGGAGATTCAGGCTGGCTCTTTCCCAGGCTGGGAATGAAAGAGCTGGCCAGTCATGTGCAAATCCAGAATGTTTCTGTTTCTAGGATCTGGGGAGACGAGAATTACATCTACATGGAAGGAATTTTTCACAGACACGTTGGTTCAACAAACCAATCCAGGCAAAGAGACAGGGAGTGCGGGAGGAGAGAGAAGAGGTGAGAGCAGGCCAGGAACAGCTCATTTCTGGAGAGCACTGAGATATCTGAGAATTGTTTTTCTTATTAAAAATAAAAGTGTGCTGGTGGAGTGTGATGATTAACTATGTATCAACTTCACTGAGTCACAGAGTGACTAGATATTTGGTCAAACATTAATCTGGCTATTTCTCTGAGGGTGGTTTTGGATGAGATTAGCATTTGGATCTGTGGCCTGGGTAAAGCAGATGCTTCTTAATGTGGGTGGGCCTCATCCAATCGGGTGATGGCCTGAGCAGAAGCAAAGACTGAGCAAGACAGAATTCCCACTCTGGGCCTCCCAGTCATCCAGTGGGGATGTCAGTGTCCCCTGCCCTAAGACCCGAGCTGAAACATCAGCACTTCTGGGTTGGGAGACTGCTGGCCTTCAGATTAACACTAAACCATTAGCTCTGGGATTCCAGCCGAATGCAGCTCTTAGGACTTTCACCTGAAGTGAAAGTGAATCCAGGTAAGCAGCTCCATAGCCTAATTTATAATCACCCGATGGGTTCTTCCTGCCCACTGCACAAAACCAATCCACTAAGACCATGGCATTGCAGTAAATAAACAATTCAACTGGCACGAGGCTAGCCACGCCACTGTGCCACCAGGAGACAGAGTTATTACTCAAATCAGTTTCCTCGAAAATTCCCAGGCTAGGATTTCTCAAGGATAGTGTAGCGGGCAGGTGCTAGGGGAATGGGTGCTGCTGACTGGTCGGGATGCAGCCACAAGGATGTGGGAAATGGTCCTTGCGCGCTGAGTCTGCTTCTGGGTGGGGGCCACAGAACTAGTAGAGTCAAGAGTTGAGGGTCCGGGTGGGGTGATCTGGCCATCAGAAATGCAAAAGCCTGAAAAGACATCTCCAAAGGCCAATCTTAGGTTGGACAATCGTTAACTGGGGAAGCTGCAAACACTGTGGCCTCAGGAATAACTGCTGGTAATCAGTTACATGTACCCCTTAGCAGAATTCAGGCCCCTCCCCTCCTCCTAACCTGGTGGCCTTTATTAACTCTATAAAGCCGATTTAGTTTGCGGGGAAGGGCTATTATCATTTAGACTACGAACTACCATTTCTTCCAAAGTTAGCTTGACCCAAGCCCAGAAGTCACCAAGGACGGTTTGGAGGTTAAAGACAAGCTGCGGGCTGGTTAGATCAGATTTCTTTCGTTGTCATAATTTTCCATTATAACTTTTGCAAAAGCGGCGTCAGGTTTTGTACTAAGACAGGTTTTTTGAACAGATCTAATTGGTGCGCTCCCGCTCTCTTCCCCAAAGCACAGGGACTTATTTCTCCATTTCCTCCCTAGGCGGAGGCAAAGCCCCGCCTACTCTGGCTCTGAGTCCCTCCTGGTCGCCATTCCGATTGACACTCAAGCTGACCAATCAGCGCGCTGGTGGGAGCGTGAGGCTGCGTCTCCAGACGCACATGCGCGCTGTCGTTGCTCGGGAGATGGACGGCCGCCGTGTTTCGGGCTGGGTCTGGCGGCAGCGCCTGGCTGTCCGCGGAGCGCTGGAGGACGCAGGGTTTGGCACCGAAGCCCGGTGATTAAGATCCCCTCCCTCTTGTGGGACGAAGACTGCGGCAGGGGGAGGGCATGTGCTGTATTTGGATCAGTTAGATGTTACCTGAAAACAGCCCCCTTGGCCTCTCTGAGCCTCAGTGCCCTCGGTTATAGAGTGGGACCGTTGGTACCTGAATTTTCAAGGTCAGCCCAGACATCTGAGGCATTTGTCAGAGGCCGCAGGATTTGGGAAGAGGCGTGCGGACATAGGAATTGGGCGGTACCTCGGGACCGAAAGATTCCCGTTGCTTCTCCCGCCTTTTCCAGAAATCAGAACCAACCCAGAGGCTCCCACCAGCGGTCGGGGCTCCTCGGGGACCAGCCCTTCCCGGGGCTGCTGCCAAAGAACCTCAGTCGGGAGGAGTTGGTTGATACGCTGCGGGCGGCCGTGGTGGACCGGAAAGGTGAGGGGTGAGAGGGATTCCCGCGGGTGCGATCGAGCTCTCCAGTGAAGCCACAGGATCAGCCCTGCTTCTGCCTCCCGCTAGCAGCATGAGCTGGGACGAGCCACCTAATTTGAACCCTCTCCCCGCTCCTAACCCAATTGCCCTGACGAAGTGCGGTAAAGAGCAGGGAGAGGATGCAAATTACTAGGATGCCTTGCACCTAGCAGGCGCTCAGTAATGGGAGCTGCTATACTAGATTATTGTTTATTGGCCGCGGTGGCTCATGCCTGTAATCCCAGCAATTTGGGAGGCCGACGCGGGCGGATCACCTGAGGTCAGGAGATCAAGACCAGCCTGGTCAACATGGTGAAGCCCTGTCTCTGCTAAAAATACAAAAAATTACCTGGGTATCTGCTTATACTCGCAGCTACTTGGGAGGCTGAGTCGGAAGAATCACTTGAACCTGGATGGCAGAAGTTGCAGTGGGCCGAGATCATGCCACTGCACTCCAGCTTGGGCAACAAGAGCAAAACTCTGTCCCCCCAAAAAATTGTTTATTGATACACAAAACACAGGCTTTGGAGTCAGACGTATCTAGGCTCTGTGATCAGCTTGCTCTGTGGCTTTAGGAAAATGACTTAATTTCTCTGAACCTCAGTCTCCGTTCAGTGATTTATTTCTTTTCTCCCCTATTTCTTGAACATATGCTATGTTCCAGGCACTGTTCTAGGCAGGCTATACAGTGCTGAAAAGGATAGATGTGGTTCCTGCTCTCAGGGGAGAAATGGATGTTAGAAAATAAATGAACAAGTTACTAGTGATCAGTGCTATGCATAAACTAAAACAGGGTTTTATGATCATGAGGAACAGTAGGAGGAGGGCAGACATTAGATTGGAGATTTGGACTTCTCCATGATGTGACTTTTGAGCCAGGATGATAGGGAGCCAGACCTGGGAAATTTGGGGACAGAGGAAACAGCAAATGCCAAGGCTCTGAGGTGGCAGGGGAACAGAATGCAGTTCAGTTTGGGTGGGGTTGATAACTCACGTCTGAGAGTCATCATAGGGCCAAGTGCGAAGATGCGTGAGAAAGTGCTCTGGAAACTGAGTGCTGCATAAAGCGTTGCCATTGCTTTTGCTGATGTTCATGTGTGTATGTTTCAGGACCTCTAGTGACACTGAACAAGCCACAGGGTCTTCCAGTGACAGGTATGGGCAGGGGATGTGGGAAGGGAATGCAGTGGAAGGGAGTTTCTTGTCTCTGAGGGTGGGAAAAGTGAAGGTTTGGCCTCCTGTATTTTTTCTTTCCTCTTTCCCAGGAAAACCAGGAGAGCTGACATTGCTCTCAGTGCTACCAGAGCTGAGCCAGTCCCTGGGACTTGGGGAGCGGGAGCTCCAGGTTGTCCGAGCATCTGGGAAGTAAGTGGTGGGGTGACAGGAAGCTGGGAGTACAGGCATCCGTCTGTGTTGGGGAAACAGCTGTTTGTGGGTAAGCTGAGACATTTTCCTTGGGAAGGTTTGAGATCATAGAGGTGGATACAAGTACTGTGAAGAAGAGGAAGCTGATGGCTCTGGATTCAAATCCTCAAGTGCAGACGGTGTGATACCAGGCCAAGCATGATACCTCCCTGAAGCTGGACACAGTGACTTATGCCTGTAATCCCAGCACTTTAGGAGGCCAAGGCAGGAGGATCACTTGAGCCCAGGAGTTCAAGACCAGCCTGGGCAAAATAGACCCCATCTCTGGAAAAACAACAGCAAGAACAAAACCTTCCCTGAGGCCAGGCACGGTGGTTCACACCTGTAATTGTTGGGACTTCGGGAGGCGGAGGTAGGAGGATTGCTTGAGTCCAGGAGTTCAAGACCAGCCTGGGCAATGTGCAAAAACTACTAAAAATACACAAAAAACTAGCTGGGCATAGTGGCACATGCCTGTAGTCCCAGCTACTCGGGTGGCTGAGGTGGGAGAATCACCTGAGCTTAGAAGATGATGGCTGCAGTGAGCTGAGATCCCGCCACTGTACTCCAGCCTGAGCAACTAGAGTGAGACCCTGTCTCAAAAAACAAAAAAGCACCCTCCCTGAGCCTTAGTTCTCCTAATTGTAAAGTCAAGGAAATAATACCCATGCTCAATGTGCAGTCACTTCTCCATACTTGTGGTAGGCATTGCTAGTGGATCCATGATACCCTTTCCTCTAACTGCCATCAAAGATGGTACTTGAGATGAAATATTTCTGTAGTTCCACAAACTCACGAGCTTTTTTGTGGGGAACTTAAGAGCTAATATATGCAGAATTTCTAGAAGAGTTCTGGCACATGGTGGACATTGGTTATGATATTTGGCTCTGAGCTCCCTGGGGGCCAGGGCGAAATGAGATCCACATTAAGCTACATAGTCTTGTTATCATATCAAACAAGGTGAAACGTTACTTGTTTCTCAGGAGGTGGTCTAGGTGATAGTCCTGGTGTTAGTGTTTGGCCTGAAGCAGGTCAGTGTTGCTTCCTAAGAGCCTCCTTTTTAGTGGGTGAGTCTAAGGGACTTTAACTTGTGTGATTTGTCTCCTTACTCCAGGGAGAGCTCTGGGCTTGTACTCCTCTCCAGCTGTCCCCAGACGACTAGTCGCCTCCAGAAGTTCTTCATTCATGCACGGAGAGCCCAGAGGCCCACAGCCACCTACTGGTGAGAGGTGCTGGGAGGTTCCTAGGGTCGTGGGGAGGTCCCAGCAAGCCATGATGTGATCTCCTCCTACCCCTTTCTCAGTGCTGTCACTAATGGGATCCCAGCTACTTCTGAGGGGAAGATCCAGACCGCCCTGAAACTGGAACACATTGATGGGGTCAATCTTGTGAGTCCAGGTCTGGGCAGGGAAGAGAAGGGATGCTTCTAGATATAGTACCCCTACGGAGAAGAGTCAGGGGTATGGATTTGGGATGGCTGGCTCTCCTGTCCCCTAAAACAGGCAGTGACCACTGCCTATGCTGGGGCCCTGCCCAGAGTCTGTTGGAAGCAGGGAGGGTCTGGGTATAGCTGCCAGGCCTGTGTAATGTTTGTTCCCTCTTGGCTGGCACTACAGTCAGTTCCAGTGAAGACCCCATCCCGAAAGGACATCCTGGAAGGTGTCAAGAAGACTCTCAGCCACTTTCGTGTGTTGGCTACAGGCTCTGGCTGTGCCCTGGTCCAGCTGCAGCCGCTGACAGGTAGGTCTGGCACACCAGCCAGCCTTTAAAACTGCACTTGATTTGGGAGGCTGAAGCTGGTGGATCACAAGCTCAGGAGTTCAAGACCAGCCCCGTCAAGATAGTGAAACCCCATCTCTACTAAAAATTACAAAAAGTAGCCAGGTGTGGTGGCAGGCCCCTATAATCCCAGCTCCTCAGGAGGCTGAGGCAGGAGAATTGATTAAACCCAAGCAGCAGATGTTGCAGTGAGCCAAGATCACACCACTGCACTGGAGCCAGGTGCAGTGGCTATAATGCCAACACTTTGATAGGCTGAGGCAGACAGATCACTTGAGGTTAGGAGTTCAAGACCAGCCTGGCTAACATAGTGAAACCCCGTCTCTATTAAAAATACAAAAATTATCTGGGGGTGGTAGTATGTACCTGTAGTCCTAGCTACTTGGGAGGCTGAGGTAGAAGAATCACTTGAACCCAGGAGATGAAGGTTGCAGTGAGCCAAGATTGCGCCATTATACTCTAGCCTGGGAGACAGAGCGAAACTCCATCTCAAAAAAAAAAAAAAAGATGCATTAAGCTCAGGGAGGCAAGGGGCTGGGGAGATAGTGGTGATATCAATAGCAGCCTGAGCATTTAATGGCCCCCAGAGGTGTATGTGACTAGGCCCAGCTGGAGGAGGCAGCTCCAGGCTAGCACCCAGCAGCAAAGAGCAGGCCTTATGCCCAGTGGCTTCAACAATTAGGGTTGCATCTCATCATGAGTGGATCCCACAGCCAGGCAGATTGACAGCTGTGATCGTCCTGACCTGTTGTATGTCCCTTTCTGGATGCAGAAGTGATAGTACCAACCTCACTGAAACCATATGGTCTGAGAAAGGGGGTGGTGTTTCCAAAGGACAGGGGGAGGGGCAATACTGGTCGGACAGAAGGAGCAGCTGCCCACCGTCTCTCCTGGCTCTCCTCTTGCTCAGTGTTCTCCAGTCAACTGCAGGTGCACATGGTACTACAGCTCTGCCCTGTGCTTGGGGACCACACGTACTCTGCCCGTGTGGGCACTGTCCTGGGCCAGCGATTTCTGCTGCCATCTGAGAGCACCAAGCGCAAAACACAGGTACTCCAGCCCACCTGCCTGCTGCTTTCTGGGAGGTAGAGGGAGAGGGGAGCATGGGCAGCATCTCCAGACCTTAGCTGTGTAGCTTGCAACTATGGAGAGGCAGCCCATTTGGCTCCCAAGGCTCTCTCTGTACCCACATCTTGCTGTGTGGCCTTGGGCAAGAAACACCTGCTCTCTTGGGCTTCATTCTGTCCATCTGTTCAATAAGGGAGTTGAAGTAGCTGATTTTTTTTCATAGTTTAAATTCTGGGGTACATGTGCAGATCTTGCAGGATTGTTACGTAGGTATACACATGCCATGGTGGTTTGCTGCCTCCACCCCCCCGTCACCTACATTAGGTATGTCTCCTAATGTTATCGCTTCCCAATTTCCCCACCCCCTGCTGTCACTCCCCTGGCCTCCCCACCCCCCAACAGACCCCAGTGTGTGATGTTCCCATGTCCATGTGTTCTCATTGTTCAACACCCACTTATGAGTGAGAACATGCGGCGTTTGGTTTTCTGTTCTTGTGTCAGTTTGCTGAGAATGATGGTTTCCAGATTCATGGCATACATACTGCCACGTACGTTCCATTGTCTAGAGCTCACTTATGTCTCACCAAGCTGCGAGAGGGCTGGGAAACGCTGTTGAGCTGTGCCTAGGAAGAAACTGATTGGGTGACCCCTTAGCCAGTCTCTGCTGCAGTGTGAGTGCCTGTGTGAATGTGCACGTCTTTGTGCAAAGAGGAAATGATTAACAGCTGCAGAGCAGGGAGGAATGGAGGAAGCACTTGCCTTACTCCCATTTCCCTTAGAGCTGGGTACTCAGCTGCTTGGAACGTGTGGGGCTGAACACAACATGCCTCTCCCATTCCAGGTCCTGGATGAAGCCCTCCTCAGACGCCTCCACCTGACCCCCTCCCAGGCTGCCCAGCTGCCCTTGCACCTCCACCTACATCGGCTCCTCCTCCCAGGCACCAGGGCCAGGGACACCCCCATCGAGCTCCTGGCACCCCTGCCCCCTTATTTCTCCAGGACCCTACAGTGCTTGGGGCTCTACTTACAATAGTCCTCCTCTGTCCCTGACCCCTCACACACATATAAAGTAAGGGTGGGGCCTCCAGCCAGGCCCAAGGAGAATGAGGTCAGTGCTTAACATGCAGTCAGGTTTAATCCTGGGCTCTGCAGTCAGACCAACCCAAGATCATATCCTGGACAGGCCACTTGCTTGCTGTGTGGCATTGGGCAAGTAATTTGACCTCTTTGGATTTGTGATAATAAAAGTTCCTACCTCATGTTATGGTTTTAAAGATTTGCTAAGAAAGTAAATGTTTATTATGGACCTTGCTTTCTGCTGAGTTGACTATGTGATCGTGGCTGGGAGATGTTAGAGAGAGAGAGAGAGAGAGAGAGAGAGTGTGTGTGTGTGTGTGTGTGTTAAAATACTACCATCTTGGCCAGGGGCAGTGGCTCACACCTGTAATCCCAGCACTTTGGAAGGCCAAGGAGGGCAGATCACTTGAGCCCAGGAGTTTGAGACCAGCTTGGGCAACATGGCGAAACCCCCACTCTACTAAAAATAGAAAAATGAGTTGGGCATGGTGGCACATGCCTGTAGTTCCAGCTACTTGGGGGGATCACCTGAGCCAGGGATTCAGAAGTTGCAGTGAGCTGAGATTGCACCATGCCACCTCACTCCAACCTGGGCCACAGAGTAAGACCCTGCCTCAAAATAAAATTTACCATTTTAGCCATTTTAAGTGTACAGTTCTGTGGCATTTAGTGTACTCACACTGTTGTGCAAGCAGTACCACCATCCATATCCAGAACTTTTTTTTTTTTTTGAGATGGAGTCTCACTCTGTTGCCCAGGCTGGAGTGCAGTGGCATGATCTCAGCTCATTGCAACCTCCACCTCCCAGGTTCTTGTAATTCTCCTGCCTCCACCTCCCGAGTAGCTGGGACTAGTGCACACCGCCACGCCCGGCTAATTTTTTATATTTTAGTAGAGACAAGGTTTCACCATGTTGCCAGGCTGGTCTTGAACTCCTGAGCTCAGGCAATCCTCCCACCTTGGCCTCCCAAAGTGCTGGGATTAGAGGTGTGAGCCACCATGCAGCCCAGAACTTTTTAATCTTATTAAAAAACTTTGGCTGGGTGTTGTGGCTCCTGTCTGTAATCCCAGCACTTTGGGAGGCTGAGATGGGCAGATCCCTTGAAGTCAGCAGTTCAAGACCAGCCTGGCCAACATAGTGAAACCCGTCTCTATTAAAAATACAAAATTAGCTAGGCACAGTGGCAGGGCCTGTAATCGCAGCTACTAGGGAGGCTGATGCATGAGAATCACTTGAACTTGGGAATTGGAGGTTGTAGTGATTATGAGATGGCGCCACTGCACTCTAGCCTGGGTGATAGTGAGACTGTCTCAGGGCTGGAAGTGGTGGCTCATGCCTGTAATCCCAGCACTTTGGGAGGCCAAAGCAGGTGGATCACCCAAGCTCAGGAGTTCGAGACCAGCCTGGTGAACATAGTGAAATCCTGTCTCTACTAAAAAGAAAATTAAAGATTAAAAATTAAAAATTAGCCAGGCATGGTGGCATTTGCCTGTAGTCCCAGCTACTCAGGAGGCAGAGGTGGGAGT